TTTGGCATTTTTCGATCACCGATGACGATCGGCAGCTACCGCCGATGGTGACTCAGACGACGGCTGACGCGGTGGTTCGACGACCGGACGGCGAGAGCTCTGGAGCTCTCCCCCCCCTTTTTTTTTTCTGAAAAAGAAACCAAATGAACAAAAAAATTTTTTTTTTGGTTATATATAAAAGACTAAGGAGCAAAACGACGTCGTTTCGATCAAGGAGGATCCGCGCGTTGACTCGGATCCAACCCGAGATCCGCGCAACTCGACTCGTGGACCCGCTCTTCAAACGGTTGCTGATCGATCCAATTGAACCGGTTTGAACCAGATCGAACCGCAGATCATTCAACCGAACCAACCCTTTTTTGGTCCATCCGAACCAATCGTTGATCTGTTCGGTTCAGGTAAATTTTTTTTTTGAATTTTATAAATTTTTTTATTATTTTTGTTTGTTGTTTTGAGTTTGTTTTATTTATTCTTGCATGATAAATTTCTAAATTTATTAGAATAAATGTTTAATTGTTTTAATAACAATAAAATTGAAAACAAATAATAATTAAAAATATATTTAAAATGTTCAAAAAAATATTTATTATTATTCTCTCTGCCTAGATGTTGGAGAGAATAAAAATATTTTTCTAAAAAAAATAATTTCGCCTAGATATTGGGGAATTATTGTTAATAAATTTTTACAAAAAATATATATATAAGAAAATTTTAAATTAATTTTAAAAAATTATTAAAATCGAACCTGCTTTGAAAATCTGCCTAAATGTTGAGAATTTTTAGAAATGTTCGTATTTTTTTAAAAAAACGAAACCTTAAACACTAATTCTTAATTTTCAAAATCCTAGGTTTCTAAAACCCCTAAAATCCAAAATCCAAAAATTCAAAATCCTAAAATCCGAAACTCCTAAAAATCCAAAATCACTCAAAACCCAAACCCTAAAATCTCTAAACTCTAAAATCAAAACCCTTAAAAATCCAAAATCCCAAAATTCAAGCTTTAAAACCCTCTAAACTTTAAAACCAAACCTTCAAAACCTCTACTCAAGCCCTTACTTAAAACCTCCTAAAAATCCTAAGGACACGTGTGAAAATTCTATTTGAAGCAATTTGTTCCCGAATGTCACCTAGATGATGAGATATTTAAGAAATTTTACTTCGTTAAGTCTTTTCACACGATTTTTTAATTCGCATTAATAATAAAATTAATAAATAAAAAGTATAACAGTAAATTGGAATCTTAAATATAAACAGTCGCACCTAAGCTCTACTTAGATGTTGGAGAGTCGGGGTGGTCTCATTATACTTAAGAACCCAACTATTAAATTGCATTTCATTTCTCATGACATTCATTAGTATACATACGTTAGCATGTTATCATCGATAATTGTCTGCATTATTCTCTTTTTAATTTACTGTTTGATGATAAAATATTTTATAATGAAAAAAATAATACTTTTAAAATTTTTTTTTGTGATATTATAAAATAAAACAAAAATAACATTTCGAAAGAAATAATTCTTGGTACTCTGTCTAGATGTTGGAGAGTCACTAACAATTATTTTCTATAAAGATTGTTATTTCATTTTAAGGATTATTGTGTTAAATCTTAAGCGAAAAGAATTATTTTAAATTCTGCTTAGATGTTGGAGAGTTTTAAGATAATTCTTTAACTTAAAGATTTTCTCAATATTTCTAAATAAAAATTTTAGCAAAAATATTTTTTAAAACGAAAGGAATTAGTATTAAATTTCAAGTCAAAATCATTTTTATCTAATACCGAAAATAGCGCATAATTAAATGGTACCAATTTATGGGCGTTGGTGGGGTGTTAATCCTTCCTCACACGTAACCAACTCCCGGACTTAACCTGATTTTTCGTAAATCGAATTTATCTTTATAATAAACTTTAAATTCGTTTTTATAGTTTTATTAAAAGGATAAACTTTTGGGTGACCAATCACACCCTAATAAAGATTGGTGGCGACTCCCCTTTTATTTTTCTTGATTTTAAAATATTTTTACATCTGACGATCTCAAAACCGTTACGACAATTGGTCAACATTTCCACATAAGAGCTTTCACCATTTTATCCATCTGCATGTTCTGCAATACTATACAACTTCATTAAAACATGCACCATAAAATTGACCGTTCACTCAATTTTTCACCCTTTTAATTTTATTTTAAGCTGGACTTGGATGGGTAAATCTTGGGTTTGCATGAACAACTATTTGGGGAGCTGGGCAGAGACTGAAATTGGGTCAGTACTGTTAGAAGTAGAGAGAAAGAGAGGCATAGCCAAATGGACTAATACTTTTGGCTTCTTAGTTGTTGTTTACTTGCTTCTTGTGTGAGGTATCTTAAGTAATTGTGTCATTTACAAGATTTAGGACAAGAAGATGTCTTGGCTTGTGTTTGAGTAACAATTCCCACACAAAAACCCATAACTTTCAACCAGAGTAAAAAAATTCCAAATCAAATTTATCTGTTTGAAGGTATCCATATGGCCAGGTTCTCTCTGTAGTTTTTGCGGGAAGGACCCATTTGCATTAATGCCGTTAAATATGTAATTTTTTTAAAGTAATATGCAAGGTCAAGAGATAGATATATATCAAGTAGTAATATTTGTTAGTAAATTGGATCATTGCATGGAATCCATAGAGGCACATTTAAATGATGGAAAACAATGTAAAGAAAACAAACAAGCAGATAAATGATAAACAGAATAGGACCTGGAAAAACAAATAATGAAATTACAGCCAGTAGGGGTTCTAAATCAATTCCATACATGACTTCTTTCCCCTAACTGCTCTCTTAGCTTGAAGTGATCCATCATGGAATCTGGAGTACTCATTGGTTCAAGATTTTAGCTACAATTGGTTGTAATTTTCTTTGTGTTTTTTGTTCTTCCAAGGGGTTAAAGAGATTTGGTTGGACTTTCCTTGTTTTATGGGTTACTTTTGGTAAGAAACTTCTAATCCAACTTACAAAGTGATACTAACATACTGACAAAATTTTACTGATTGATAAACTCTGACATGGGCATCTTTTTTTTTGTCACTCAATTTCAAGCCAATTTCTTTCCAAATTCTGCTCAAGGCTTCCAGAGATTTAAGCATCAAAACAAGGTGAATGGGTTATGAAGAGACTTCTAATTTGAAAAGGAAAGAAATAAGTTAATCATATGACTAGTCTTCATCACGCTTGGTTGGTTGGGCACTAATGTGACACGATAGAGTGGTTAGGGTTTAAGAAATTAAGAGCAATATTTATTTGATTTAGACCAAAATCTAGCTGTAAAGAATGGATTAAGGAAAATTCTAAAGCATTATGGAATTATTTTGTCTTCCACATTGTGATGCAGATTTAAAACTAGAATTTTGTCTAACATTATGTTACTGCTAATCTTCAATAGCAGTGAGAAAAATATGACATTTTTCTTATACATGTGACACTTGAAAATGAAATTAATCTCCAACCATCAGTGTTGTGAACAGCTATAATATTAATATTTCAATATTTTGGAATATAGCTAATTGCCCAGGCCCCAGATTTGAACCGAGGAAATTGTGGCAGGATTACACAGAGAAAGCTGTAGGAAACTAGGAGCAGAGTTTAAGAAACTTGGCTTGCTTTACGTTTGCATTTCTTCTCCTCAAGAACATTGCTGCAGAACACCGATGATATGGTTTTCACGAAGTATTAATCAATGTATTTTTATCAATTCTAGGAGTTCTAATTTAGATTCATTAGCAACGGTTCACTAGTTCACTGAACTCTGCTATAATTGAGCGCTGAACTCTGCTATAATTGAGTACTGAACAGTACTAAAGCAGAACACTGATGAATGGACTAGCATTTTTCAACATCTGATGTCAAATTTGATGTAAGGGGTTGTTAACAACCAATTGGTTATGTATTTATTTTTTTGTAGCAGATTGATTTCCTGCTCTCAACCAATTATCCCCCCCAAACAGCTCAGCTCTTCATTGACCCTTCTCAAACCAAAAGCTATATTACAATGATCGAATTACACGATTAAATTGATCACCTAAATACTGTAAAAATTTTGAGTTTTAGCTACACTTATTTTCATTTGTAGCATATTTCTTTATGCACTGAAAACTTTAAACATGAAGGTATTTAAACTTTAAGTTGCATTTTCTTTTTAAATTCAGTTGCAATAATTGAAGTGCTTAATTTCTTGTTGTAGTATAAAGAAAACTGCAATTTAATAATAAGAAAAGAGATTATAGGTATTGAAAATTAAACCCTAAATTTGTTAAATATTAAAAGTAATTATATGTACCAATTGAATTAAATTTTGAGTTCAAAGTATTTAATTAATTTTTTTGCTAACGTATGCCAATCTCTTTAATCTATTCAACATTCTACTAAAGAATTATAGTATAATATATCTAAATCCATAAAAGAGCTTTAACAGTGTAAAAAAAAGTTAAAACCACAGCAGAAAAGTTTACCATGTTAGAAAATAGGAAAAAATAGAAGTCAAGACATACGAGCCAGGTTTGGTGTTCATGGTCATACTTCTATAGGTTTCGAGTGTTATTTCTTTTTCATGTGTGCTTCAACTTTTCTATATACTTGTAATAGACAACTTTCTTTGCTATTTGCTAGCATATAGCTAGCTCTTTAACGTTTTTATTCCTTTTGAATTTTCAAATAAATCTCTTCTACTTAGTAAAAAAACAATCGCTATCAATCATATAATCCGTTAATAAAGAGTTGGATTTTTAATTTTAATAATCAAAATTTTAACACTTCTCAAATAAAAAAAAAAAACTATTAAACTAGAATAATTCGAGTACAATACTACATTTTTGTTTTCAGTTAAAACGTGGGAGATATCATTATTGAATGATGAGTTTGAAAGCTTGCTTTGGCTCCTCTTCAAACTCATCTTTCAATAATGATATCTCCCACATTTTAACTAAAAAAAAAAAAAAACACCCAAATCATTTTCCGTTTTCCCTTTTCTTTGTCCTTTTACTTTGGTGAGGATTGAGGACTTGATTCACCTCACTTACTAATACTACCACGACATTGTGCACATAATCTCAATTCTTTTTTGCTCAAAGTAGTCTTAATTTATTAATACCGGAAAAGAAAGATTAAACCACATTGGTTTACATTGTTATTTCATTAATACTTGCACATGACCACTGATCATAGCTCATAGCCAAGGGAAAGGCAAGAGAGAAAAAAAAAAAAAAAAAGAAAGAAAAAGACCAATCAATGTATAACATAACAAAGAAATCTATGCGTACTGCCTGAAAATTAAGCATTAAGTTAATTCCTGCCCCTCCTCCGATTCTGCTGCTTCCTCCCAAAGTACTTGACAAACCACTTGTGTTTCATTGGGTTGAAGGAGTACCCAAGAACCAGTCCGTTCACTAGCCCGCTTCCATACCCCAACAGGACAACCTTCCAACCAAATTCAAGCCAAGACCCGCCGCCTCTATCTTTCTTTGACAATGAAGGTGGTGGTGGTGATGAATAGCATTTCTTTGACAAAGGATTCCCGCATAATCCTGGGTTGCCCTCAAATGAGTCGTTTTCGAACGTAGCAAATTGTTTTCCTTGTGGTATGGGTCCTATCAGCTGATTGTTGGAGACATTAAAAACTTCAAGGAAAGTGAGTTCCACGAGCTCTCGAGGGATCTCTCCTGAGAGCTTGTTCTGAGAAAGGTCCAAAGATTGAAGTCCCGTTAGATTCGCCAATGATGATGGAATTGGACCTGAAAGTGAGTTGTTGGAGAGGTTGAGGAATTGAATTGCTTTTAGAATCTGAATGTCTTCTGGAATGCAACCTTCAAATCGATTGCTTGAGAGATCAATGGCTACCAAGAATTCTTGAATCTTCTCGTATTTTGTCTGCGTGCCTTTATTTGTCATTGTCATTGAGTAATAAATGGTACCATACCATTGGTTGACTGTTGTTTCAAAACTGGTGTTTGCCTCCAAGTACCTTAACTTGCTAACATCAACAACTTTCATGGCCTTCCATAGTTGGAAATGACGAGATGGCAAACGACCAATAAATTTATTGAAGGAAAGATCAAAGATTCGCAACTTGGGAAACTCTTTGGTTTTTGGTTTTCCAATTGCACCATGAAATCCATTATGTCGTAGTATGAGAATCCTTAACTCTGGAAGCCTGCCCAACCAAGAGGGAAACGTATCCACTATTTGATTATTTCCCAAATTAAGAACTTCTAGCATGTTACAGTTAACCAGTGATCTGGGAATCTGTCCTTCCAATTTATTCTGGCTAATGTCAATCATTCTCAATTTGCTTCCCTTTTTGCATGGTTGAGGAATAGGGCCATGAAAGCTGTTGTTTCGTAGATTCAACATTGAAAGTGAGCTGCTTAGGTTGCCCAAACATGGTGGAAGCGTGCCGCTTAATTTGTTATTTGACAAGTCAAATGTAGTTATATAAGTCAGATTGCAGATCATTGATGGAATTTCTTCCGTCAATAAATTGTCTGAGACATCGTAATGGTAAATGGAAGCTGATGGCATTGGAAGGGATCCTCGTAGCTTGTTAGAACCAAGGTCCAAAATTCTTAGAGTGGTCCATGGAGGAACAACAGAAGGTTGGTGGAAACCTGTAAGAAAGTTTTCACTTAAGTCTAAAAATTGAAGAGTTTGGGCACAAAAGCCCCATATCCATTTGGGGATAAGCCCATAGATTTTGTTCCCAGAAAGATCCAGACACTCCAGTTCATCCTGACCAGAAAGAAAATCTGGGAACTCAAATAAGTTGCTTGAACCCAATGTTAACAATGTGAACTTTGGAACACTAACATTCGTAACTGTAGTGGTGGTAAGCAATGAAAAATTATTACCGGACAGTTGGAGCCTTTTGAGATTTTTAATATTTAGAAGGGATTCTAATTTGATGGCACCGCTTAGTTGATTATGACATAAAGCAAGATCTTCGAGATTCATTAGGGTAAAGATTGATTGTGGAATCGGACCCCAAAATTTGTTTGCACCAAGATTCAAAATGATCAGTTGTGTAAGATTCCCTAACCATGATGGGATTTGGCTGGAAAACTTATTATCGCAAAGATCCAAAGCAGTAAGCTGGGTAAGGTTTTTTAGAGAAGGTAGGATATCATCATATGAGTTTGTAGATGCTACATCCAACACAGTTAGTTTGGTTAGCTTACCAAGCCAGGACAAAGTGCCAGGGCTAAACCCATTGTAAGCAAGTGAGAGAAAATTGAGCTGGGTAAGGTTAGCCAAGGATGAGGGAATTCGTCCGGAAAAATGGCAGAGACCAACACTCAAATGTGATAATGACTTAAGATTCCCAATTGATTTTGGTAGCTCACCAGAGAGACTTGTATTGGCAAGTTTCAATGATTCAATAGAAATATTTTTGTGAAATTCTGGTAAACTTCCCGTGAGATATGGATTATAGGATACCCTTAAATACCGAAGATTGGGTAGTTGGAAAACTTCAATAGGAAATTCACCACGTAATTCACAATTCTCGAGGGAGAGATATGTCAAATAAGATAAATTTGCCAAGCTTTGAGGAATCGTAGAAAATGCGTTTACCTCATCAAGATTAAGATACTTGAGGTTTACTAATTCCTCGGCTAAACTTTTCAGGCTTGGATTTTGGAGATCTAATCCATTATTCCGGGAGAGATCAAGCATCACCAACTTCGGGAGCTCTAGAACTTCTGATGGAATTTGACCTGAAAATCCAGAAGAAGAGAGGTCCAAATGTGATAGCCTTGAAAGGTTCCCAATTGCAGAAGGAATTTTAGAGTCATTGAAATCATTGCCCGCAAGATTGAGCCTTCTAAGGTGATGGAGGTGGAAAAGGCTGCTGTTGGAGTCGATAGAACCATAAAGAAAGCTGCTGCTTAGATCAAGTCCAATAATGTGACCAGTGTTGTCATCACACTCAACGCCATTCCAAGAGCAGCAATCCCCAGCAACTTGTCCTTCAAGTTTCCATGAACCAACCTTCGGATAAGCCAAAGGATAAGAAGATGCAGACCAGTTGAGAATGAAGCTTTCCTTCAACTGCAACAAAGCAGAGCGTTCAGAATCCAGACAAGGTCGCTGCATGGAAGAAACACATTGAGTGAGAAAATGAGGGAGAATTACAAAGAGTAAGCATTTTAGCAGAGAGTAATGTAAGAATAGCCCCATAATAATTAGTTCAACAAAAATTTTTTTGTGTTAAGAGGTTGCAAACGGCCATCGCTTTTATAGACAAATATGATCATTCAATGAATTCATTTGACACATGCAATATGCATATAGGTCATTTGACAATCACGTGTAGAAGTTTCGAACACGAAAATTATCAAAGGTGGTCCTCGTTCCATTTTCTATTGTTGTCTTATAAGTAGAAATTAGGATCCTCAATTAGTCAAGTCTTCAAATTGGACAAATTAAAAGCAGTTAATTAGTTTAGTCTACTGTTAAGTTATGTTGATAGAAATCAATCCTTTATCAATATTAAAAATGATAATGGCTGAAAATTACGTGTATTTAGGCGGCATTAGCGGAGTAATTAAGGTACCATGCATGCCTGCCTCTTGGTTTGCAATAATTAATCCATGCCGTGCTAAACGGTCAAGTCTTCTTTTTCTTGTCCAATTACAATAACAGATTCAGAATCGAAGACAGTGGCATTGACCCACCCCAAGTCTTCAAAAATATATTATCAGAAATTTTTTTATATTACTTTTTTACACTAACCCCACTACATCAGACGAAAGTAAAAACTTAAAAAAAAAAATGTTAAAAGAGAGATCATCAAGTACATTTCATTTTTAATGTTCTTTCCTTTGTGCATATGAATAGTTTGATTTTGATTTTGTACCAAAATTTAAGAAATTTCAAGTTAATGTTTCATCCATTCATTGATTATAAATTTTCTTCACAGAATTAATCTTAATTTAATAAAAGAAGAAATTAAGTGATAATTATAGTCAAGGTAAATAAAGGAAAGTAATAATGATTTTTTTTATAAAATTATTAATAAAAGAGAAATTGTAATTTTAATCAAGTGTTACATATATATAAGAAATCATTTAAAAGTTAAACAACTAACCAATTGATAAATCAATACATAATTAGAAAAAATCAATATAAAATTTGACCAAACCTACATGTAGTGATTTTTTTTTTTTTGTTGATTGATTTGTCTATTTGATTTATTTCAATAAATTTGTATATAATTAAAATGTAATATTTGATGATGATTTTAATTTTTACTAGTATTTATGTAATTTCATAAAGAAACTAATCTTTACGAATTGTTAATATGCTCATTTAACTCTATTAATATCTATCAATTTTGATTTTTGATTTTTAATTTTACTTTAATCTATTTTAGTTGAAGAAGTTGATGAACTACAAACACTGACCCAGGAAATTAAAATTGTACAAATTAAAGGCATGGCCTGAATTTGTCCAAAAAAAAAAAAAAGAGGCATCGGTTAATCTAACTTTTAACAAGGATGAGGGATTTATGGGAAAGGAAGTGTTTGAGATACCCATGTTGTCATGTAAAATAAAATTATTTTTTCAAAAAGAGATGATAACTATAAGTTATATTGGGAAAAATGCTTAATTTGACAAATAGATAATCTATTGGGTTTGGGACTGAATCTTAATAAATATTAATCTATTGACAATACATAATAAGTAACATTTTTAAGTCCCTAGGGACCGAATCTTAATATAAATATATTTCCATTATTTAAAAGAGGCAAAGTCTACGGGCATTCTTTTTTTCTTTTTCATTCTTTATCATCTTGCCTTCGTCCAATCAATGGAACTCACGTTTTTCATCACTTAGTTTGGAATTCCCTAAACAAGTCGAGTCAATATCGTAAATCACGTTTATTGGAATTTTTAAGTCAAGTGGTCTCAGCTCTCCAGTCCTACAAAGATTTAATAGCCTATTGGAAGACAGGTAGAAAATGAAAATGAAAAAGAAAATGAAAATGATAGACCCATTGAAGAAGTTTAGGACAATTCAAATGCTGTCCCTCACCACTGTCTGGAATGATGTAATTAAAGCCACGTCTACTTCTTTCAAAGTGGTAAGTGACATATTCAACAATTAATTCAATTATTGAGTTCTTAAAGTTCAAAATCCAAAGTAACATGCTTGATTTTAGAATTTAAACTAATCTCTTGCTGCCCCACAATTTACAAATGTATTTCTGTGGTTGTCTTATAAGTAGAAATTAGGATCCTCAATTAGTCAGGTCTTCAAATAGGACAAATTAAAAGCAATCAATTTGTATAGTCTACGGTTAAGTTATGTTGATAGAAATCAATCCTTTATCAATATTAACAATGATAATGGCTGAAAATAAGGTGTATTTAGACAGCACTAGTGGAATAATTAAGGTCCCATGTCTGCCTCTTGGTTTGTAAGAATTAATCCATGCCGTCCCAAACGATCCAACCTTCTATTTCTTGTCCAACTATAAACAGAGAGATTAAAAATCGAAGAGAGTCGGATTGACCCACTCCAATATTTAAAAAATATGTTATCAAAAAATTTGTTTTCTATTAAAAAGAAGATGAGAATGATAGAATTCGAATTCTTACCTTACATGTATTTTTAAAACTTTTTTTAACTATTAAATAAGAAAACTGAAAACTATCAAAAAAATTTTTATTGTACATTAACCCCTCTACAGCAGCTGTAAATAAAAAACTTAAAAAGAGTGATCGTTAATGTTTTATCCCACTCATTGATTATTAATTGTCTTCAAAAAATTAATCTCAATTAAAAAATAAGTTTGAGGAAGTTATAGTTAAGGCTAATAAAGGAAAGCAATGATTTTTTTTTTATGAAATTATTTATAAAAGTGAAATTATAATTATAATTAAGTATTAAATGTACATATAAAAAATACAAAATATCAAATAAGCAAATAAGTAATAATAAAATCAATGTAAAATTAAATTAAATTCAAATATAATGAAATTTGAATATTAAAATTTAAAAATCTCCTTGTCACTGAGTCAATACCTCATGAATTTGAAATAATGATGATTTTTGTTTGATTTTTCAAACGAGACATTAATTTGATAGGTCAACAACCATATAATTTTAGTAGAATATTAAAATTTTAATTTTAATAATTAAAATTTAATTATATAAAAAAATAATTTGTTGGAGTAACTATCATTCTTATTTAATTGTTAATGGCTATCAATTTAAAAGTAATGAAAAACAAAAAAAAAAGGCTGCTGTTAACACTAACATTAAAATAGTTTTTAAAGGTAAAATTTATTAGAAAGGCTCTTTAATTAGCTCAAGTTTATCAAATATAAATTAGACGACGTGGTACTACACTTTCACCGTAAACTTCCTTCTTTTCCAACTCAATCGCATCGTTATATATATAGCGCTTTATTTTTGCATTCGAGTTCCAGAACTCAATGGTTTAGCCCAACCAGAGCTGGCTCGGTGACTGAAACCGAAATCAAAGCATATTGTTTCGCGGGTAAGCAAATGCTTATAAATTTTAGACCCCATTAACCGAATCTTAATAAAAAAAATATTTCCATTATTTTTTGAAAGCAAAACGGACATCCTTTTTTTGTTTTTTTCATTCTTCATCTTGCCTTCATCCAATCAATGGAACTAATGTTTTTTTTCACCACATATTTGGGTATTATCTAAACAAGTCAAGTCAATTTCATAAATTAAGTTTATTAGAGCTTGTAAATCAAGTCGTCCCAACTCTCCAGCCCTGCATGATTAGATAGCCCATTAGAACACAGATAGATTTTTAAATGCTAGAAAATGAAAGACCCATTAAAGACGTTTAGGACAATTCAAATGCGGTCGCTCACCACTGTATCAATGGGATGAAGTAATTAAAGCCATCCTCTACTTCTTTCAAAGAGGTAAGAGACATTCAGCAATTGATTCAATTATTATTACTTTACTTCTTGAAGTTCAAAATCCAAGTAACGTGCTTGATTTTAGGCCAATTTCTTGCTTCACAATTTACAAATGTATTTCAAAGAAAAAAAAGTCACATTTTTTTTCAAAAAATAAAAAATAAAAGAGCCCATAATCAGAAACTTATATTTGCTAGTGCTTTATCATTAATATGTTCGGTTTATTTTGTATAAATGGTTTCGTATTTTTCCTTTGTAATCTTTATGTAGTTTAATTCATCTGTGTTAGGATCAAGGTCAGAAGCCTGTTTTAGCTCATTCGGTAAAGCTAATCATTTCAGTTTCCAATAGAACTAGTTTCTACCAATTATCCTGTATCTATGCATGGTATGTTTGTTTCCATCTCTGTGTATAATTCTGTCGTTTATTCAAATGAAATTGCAGCAAACAGTGACTACAACCATTAAGGTGCTTCTAGCTTGTAGGTCCAATTCTACCACTTTGACAATGAAGCAGAAAGAATATAAGGTGTGGCTATTAAGCGCGAACCATTCTTTCTCCTAACATGTACACCAAATGACTCTCTCAAGTCTCAGGTCAAGTTGTTGAGGTCTTAGTCCACTTGACAGTTTCCAATCGAAATTATACAATAACTAGCCAAGTGGAAGTTTGATATTCTTGGATTGAACCAAATCTTATAAGAAATTTGATTAGAGATTTATTTAAGATGGAATTAATTAAATATTGATTGATAGACAAAAAAATTTCTAGAACAAGAATTCTAAGAATTTTAATAGGTAAGTTTGTATATTTATAAATAAATAGAGTTTCTATAAAATTAAAATGAGAAAAAGATGTAAGAAAGTTGTAAGATTTTATTAGATAGACAACTCAAAAGAGTAGAGGAAATTGAAATGGTTTTTATGGGTGTGTGTATATAAAGAGAATGAGATGGTTTACATAAATATGATGTATGGATACACGAGTATGTGTTTGTTTGAATTGAAAATATTTCATAAAACTAGAGGAGAATAAAAAGATCTATATGTATTGATTGTGAGTGTTTGATTTGATGTTTGTTTATAATTTTCTCCAATTAATGGATTTTTTTTCTCATTTACAGACGTAAGCCAGTTGGACTGAATCATATTAAATTATTGTCTCTGTGTGATTCATTGATTGATTATTTGTTTATACTTCCACTCGCTTGATTGTTTAATTGGATTGAGTCTTTTCTTGCCTAACAACTAATATCAAAGTTATCGTGTGTGATCCTAATAACTTGTATTAAAGCTGAAGATTCAAGATGTGAGAAGAGACAAGCATAAAGGAGCTTGATTTAAAAGATAAGTTCGATTTCATGTAT